AGAGAGCAGCCGCCCTCCCCGGGCGACCCGCTTGCGGTTCGAGGGTGCTCACTGGGCCCCGCGGCTTTCTGGATGGCTTGGCTGGGACTCAGGCCTGGCTTTGTGCGAGCACAGAGTGGGAGCGCCCTGGGTTCTCCGGTAGATTCAGGGACGGAGGCTGCTGCAGCTGTGCTGGGGGCTTGGTGACAGTGTGTCCCTGGGCCCCAGCACAACCGAGCAAGTGGAGGGGTGAGTATGAGGCCCAGCCTAGCTGATCCTGCTTGGTTCCCACTGTCCTCTGAGCCACCCCGTGGAGGACACGTCTGCAGTTGGAGAGTGGCCCGTGTGCTTGCCCTGGACTTGGGCCCGAGGGGCCAAGCCAGAATGCTAGGATGGGTCCTTGACTCCCGCCCCCTCCCCAGCACTAGGCCCTTCCGGAACTGCCCCCAGTCTGCTCCAACTACCCCCATCCTGTGTCCCCATTCCCGGCACCTGCCCCCAAGCTGCACAGGCAGCCTTAGCCCAAATACCTGTCCTGAAAGGCAGGGACAAGAAACCTTCCCCCAGCTGCCATGCTGCCCACCTGGTCCCAGCACCTCGCTGGTGGTGTCCCCTACAGGTGCCTCGAGGAGAGAGTGGGCAGGGCCCAGGAGCCCCCAGCAGGTGTTAGGGACCAGCAAGCTGAGCCCATCGGGCAGGCCTTGCACCTGGGGTCTGAGAACAAGTCCTGTCTGCTGTGGCCCTCCCTCCTGCTTCTGACTAGGGGGCTCCTGGCCTTCCACAGCCAAAGACCCCCACAAAAAGTGGCAGGACTGTGCCACCCCCTCCCGGCAGTGCCTGGGGAAGCATTGCTACAGCCCAGAAGTGACAGATTGGGTGGGTGTCAATTGTAGCCTGTCGGTGAGTGAATATGGCCAGTCCCTGCTGGGGCAGGCTGGGCAGCGGTTGGAGACAGCGGCCCCACGCGCTCAGCATCTGGCCCGAGGACCAACAATGCCCCATTATTCCCCCAACGAGCTCCAAGGCCGTGCGCGCTCCACAGCCCCCTGGCCCTCAGGGAAGACGGTTCAGGCGGGAGACCAGCAGAGCCTGAGCGCTTGCTGCCGGGAGCAGAGGAGCGTCGGTGTGACGTGGGGGGAGTTGGAGGTCGACTGTCCCCCAGCATTGTTCTGTCTCAGAGGCACCTGTGCCTGCCGCCCGGGCCCTCCCTGCGTCGGGCACCTCTGCCCAGTCTGGGGCAGGCGCGGCGGGACTCAGCGGGGCCCGCTTACCCCGGGTTCCGCGGAGGGCGCAGACTGTGGGGGCCGCGGGGGCCCCAGGTCTCTCTCTGTCCGCCTCCAACAGCATCGCGGCCGCGGGGTCCCAAGTGCGCAGCGCGGCGGCTGCGCGTTCCTTTCTCCACGCTGCGCAGGGTCCTGAGGCTCAGAGCTCCGAGGCCACCCCTGTCCCGGCTGGCTCCGCAGCCACTGGGCCCGCCCGCTGTCCGCGGTGCTGAAGGAGGACCCCGCCCGTCCGCGGACCCGGGCCCCGCCCCCTGGGGCCCCGCCCCCGCGGTGTCGCAGCCCCCACCCTCTGGCCCCTGAACCCCTGGCCGCCTCCCGGCACCCCCGTGGTCCCGCCCCTTCCCCTGGCCTTCCCTTCTTCCCCCTCGACCCCGTCCTCCTCCTAGCCCCTGCTCTGACATCCTGTGCTAGTTGCAGCCCCCACGGAGCCCGGTCCTCTCCGGCCCTCTCCGCAGCTCCCCAGCTCCGCGGGCCCCGCCTCCAGGGCCTGCCCCGCACCCCCACTTCCTCCGGACCTGACGGCCGCCCAAGGCCCTGCAGCTTCAGGGTGCCCGGATCCCCAGGTCGCCACGTCTTCGTTGTATGCGGGCCAGGCAGCTAGTCACGTCCACAGGGAGGCTCCTGCTGGCCAGCCTAGACACACACCTTCTGCCTGGCCTCCAACTTCCAGCCCTTTCTCCTCCCCTCCCCTCCCCTCAGCCAGGCCCTGGGGGTATGCACCTCACCGGGCCACCCCCAAACATCAGTGGAGTCCCCACCCACCACACCCTGGGGCCCTTCCCAGGGCCACCAGCAGGGCCCCAGGCCCAGCTCCACCTAGCTGGGGTCCTGGCTAGGCAGGGGCCCTTTCTGTGCTAAACAAGCCCCCCACCCCTAGAAAGGTCCAGCCATGGCCTCGTGGGTGCGTAGAAGTCTACAACCCCTAGGAGGCTCCCCCAGGTCGAGGTGTGGTCTCCTGCAGGCCGCTCTCTCAGGGGACCCCCCTCAAGGAACCTCACCGCCCCACCCTATCAATCTCTTCCAGGAAGCTTCCGGTTCATCCCCACAAGCCCAGGGCTGACAGGAGCACCTGCAGGAGGGAGGGAGGGCAGGTCCTGGCCCACAGGCCCTCCCTCTGGGCAGTCATGGCGCAACTTCTTAGAAAGAAAATCTCTTCAAATGTCAGATTTATTTCAAAAATGTGCACATCATCATGTCCATTTAAATACAAAAGGTTCGCTTCCTCACAGGTCCAAAACTGCAGTGACATTTTCACGCCTTTGAATTAAATCTTCCCATGAAAAATAAATAGACATTTAAATTACAGAACTATTATATTCATCAGCTTCCATACCTCTTACAATACTTAGAAATTTAGAAAATATACCTTAACCTGTTCAAGGTGGGGTCCAGGCCAAAAGCCAGGTGCTCCCCCCAGAGCCCCTGTGTGTTCTGGCTCCGGATCCAGCTGAGTGGGTGCCGTGCAGCCAAAAGAACTCACTTGGTTCCCTTCCTCTGGGGGTCTGGCCCCCCGGCCCCCAGGGGCTCACAAAGCCCTGCCCCAAAGGGCGACTTCACATTGCAGCTCTCCACAAGACACAAGTGCCCTAGTCAAGGCCCCCCAGAACGGTCCAAACCCCAGCTCATTTGCCCGAGGGCTGGCGGTCACAGTGACCCAGCACCCTCCTAACTCAGAAGGCAAGCAGGGGTTTGCCAAACGCAGCGGCTTCGGCTTCCAGGCGCTGAACAAGGTATCCAAGGAAGAAACAGAGCAGGGCGTGGGGGCTCCTGGTGGCCCACGGAGGCATGGCTTCCAGAGCTCTGGGGTTCCTCCGCTGACCCCTCCCCAGAAGAGGGGGAGAACACCTGAGGCAGCCTGGGCGGGGCTTGTCCTTCGCTGTCTCCCCAGGTGATTGCGTCCCACACAGTGGAGAACCTGACACCAGCTGGTGAGAGGAGGAGCCGGCACAGGCATGCCAGTGTGACTCTGGCCAGTGGCAGTTTGCTCAGATGCAAGTGCCGCCCGATGTTTTTGGGGGTTTTACACACCGTCTTGTTCCAATATTAAGGCGCTGCTCAGATCAGGCCCTGAGACCTGATTACAGTTTGGCTACAATCATGGAGGAGGTCCCTCACCTCCCTCCCATCTCCGTTCACCATGGGTGGGGGGGCACCACAGCAGCTCCCCAAGGTGTCCCCTCAGGCGGTTAGGGGGGACGTCCCTCAGAGCAGGGTGGCAGCTGTGTCAGCCTGGTGCCCACGCAGAAGCACAGGGCTTCGTGAGGACAGAGCCCAGAAGAGTTGTAAAGGCAAGAGGGGCCAAGGCACCTCTGGGGAGGAGGCAACGTAGCCTGACCTCCAGGCAGAGGAGCATCTCAGATGGGCCTCTGCCCCAGAAAGTGCCCTGTGGGTCTCTCGGACATGCCTCTGCCCCAGAAGGTGCCCGATACCCCAGGGAGGGGCTATCCGGGGCAGAAAGCCCGAGGGTGGCTGGGCACAGCTGTGGGGTGGGGCCCTGCCTACACGGCGGGCGGGCAGTGCCTGACCTTCCAGTGCCTGGAGCGCATGCGGAAGAAGAAGTACATGAGCATGAGGAAGAGGGAGGAGGCCACGTAGAGCAGCACGCACAGGCTCATGTCCAGGCTGGAGAAGCCCGCCCCGAGGAAGGCCACCGTGACAGCGGGCGCCACGTGGGCCTGGGTGTCCAGTCTGCTGGCCAGGTTCCCCAACAGAACGGAGTGGGGACCCAGTGCGCCAGGTGGGCCGAGACTCCCGGGGTGCCCTCTCTTGCCCTCCTCGCCAGGGCCCCCGGGGTCTGCCGAGTATGTGTCCAGGAGGTTGGCACGGCTGTAGTGTCGCTTCAGGAAGGTGAGCACCTGGCCCTCGTCCCAGCTGTCCACGCCCCTGACTTCCTCATGGCAGGCTGGGCAGAGGTCTGGGGTGGGCCATGGGGCCTTGGGGAACCTGGGGTCCTCACTCGGATGGCCTGGAAAAGTGAGAGGGAGGTGACAGAGCGCCCCCCCGCCCCTAGGGCACCTGCCCCCTGGATGCTCCACCACCTGCCCTCACCTCTGCCTCCCACCTGGGGGCCCTGCCCTGCACACTGCCCTCTGCAAGTCCTCCTTTGCTTCCTGAGGCCCTTCAGGCCTAACTTGGCCGACACCCAGAGCTGCCTGCCTCTCCCTCAGCAAGCCCACGTCTACCCAGAGTGGCCCCAACCCCATGCTGACCACACCCAGCCAACCCTCGGCCACAAGACCTTCCGCATCGGGACCAGGTCCCACCACCAACTAGGGCAGTCTCTGTGGGGACACCACGTGCGAGCGCCCAGGGCGTCCTCACTCGGCCCTGCAGAGCCCCCCACAGGGCACTTCTAGATGCCGGAGGCCTACTGCCCCACCCCCCCCAGAAAGCACACCAACATCACTCGCTCAGCCACCAGAACAGCAGGACTGTCCTCCCCTCAGTACAACCCTCAGGCCCGCAGCCGGACCACACCAGACCCGGAGAAGCCGTACAATGACCCTCAGGGAAGCAGGACCACGGGACCATGGCCACTCCTCTAGGGTGCAGAGTACAGAGACACCCTCCCTCCTCAGCTCAGCCCTCAGGCCAGTGTCCCCACCAGCACACCTCAGCTGAACTGCCCGCTCGTCTTGTGACCACTCCTCCCTAGCTGAACTGCCCGGGGCCCCTCAGCGCCTGACCCCAGACTAACACCGAGTCACCAGCCTCGGCTAAAGGACCCTGGACAATCCTGCCGTTGGGTCTGGGCTGCAGCAGATCCATTGTGGCCGAGCAGTCCCACCCACTGCTGTGATGAGGGGACACAGGCAGTGCAGCTCTGCGGAAGTGTGTGGCCGGGCTTGGGGGACCTCAGCGGCCCTGTACACACGACCCGAAGTCCTCACCCTGCCACTGCCCTCCCTCCTGGGTGGTGTACGACCCCCACCCCTCACCGGATGGGGTGCGTGCACGTGGCACAGGCTCTCAGAATCAAAGCCCTGTGGTTGGGGAGGGCGGGGCTGTGAGGTCTACAGGGACACGGGGTCCCCCGTGCCCACAACCTCCATTCGGACCACAGCCGGGAGCGGCACGGGGCCTGGGGCTGTGGCACAAGGTCCTCGAGGAACGCTGGGTGTGCACCCAGGAAGGCAGGCCACACTGGAGCCCTGGAGGGCACCCAGCACAAGGGCTGACAAGGGCCAGAGGCAGGAGGGGAGGGGAGAAGTGAGTGTGTGTGGGGGGCAGGGGGTGGGTGGCCGGGGTCAGCACACCAACAGCCCTGGGCAGCAGGGGACAGTGAGGACATGTGGACAGTGGAGGAGGGAGGGGATGTGAGAGGTACTTAGGGAGGGAGCTCCTACGAGGCGGAGGGCGGGCACCGTGCAGACAGACCAATTTCCCTTATTGCCCTTGCTACGGCAGCCACGATGCTGTGGATCGAGCCGGCCGCGCGGTGCCAGTGGTGTCCTCTGCTCATCTCCAGTAAAGACTCATCTCCCAGCGGCAATACTTTAAGCCTAATTTTAATCTGCCACTGATTTACGTAGCTTAAATTACTTAACTCTGAGGAAGGACGTGTGCCCTCTTTCCCTCCTTTAAACACCATCAGGCGGACGGATTGGTTCACAGTTGGCGGGACCTGGTGATACTGCTCCAGCCCCACCCCCGCCCCTTCGGGACTGGTGAAGCTCCAGAGACTGAGCGGCGGGGCAGAGCCCAACAGCTCTGCTTGACCCGGGCGAGCCCTGCAGGCCAGCAGGGGTGAGCGCTAGGTCCTCAGAGGCCCAAGAAGCCGGAGTGGCCCCAGGGTCTGCAGGTGGACAGCCCCCGGGTGAGGTGCGCTCACCTGCCAGGCGGCTGTTGACGACGTTGTGTTTCTTCCAGAGCCAGAGCACCGCCTGGTCGGGGGTCTCCACTGCATCCATGGACTCCTTCGCCATCTCCTCAAAGTGCTCCCCACACTCCTTACACCCAAAGAAGACACGGACGTAGCCCCTCAGGGTCTGCAGCACCGCCTGGGGGGCGCCTTCGAAACCTGCGGGGCGGCCGTGGCATGGGCAGAGCAGGGTCAGTGAGAGCAGGGGCACGCGTGCTGCTGAGAACGTGATGCTGTGACACACGAGGGCCCGCACTGCCCAAACACGCTCACCCACGCCCCTGGGACAGGGGACAGCCTGTGTGTGCTGCGTGAGTGGGCCCGCACACCAGCCCTGTGGATCATGGTGCGGCACGTCCAGTGTCTGCCGTGGCCGGGTGAGTACGACCGAGGGAGCCTGAGAGCAGGCCCCGGGGACCCTGGCACTGCCTCTGCTCGCTGGTGCAGCCCTGAGAGCCCGCACACCCGCTGAAGGCCTTGGTGAGCGCAGGCAGCTGAGCCGGTCTGAGAGGGCACAGGAGATGCTGGGGGGACGGAGCCGTCCTTCCCAGACATGCCCACGGAAAAGGCGGCTGGCCAGACGTCTAATCGGGGATTGAGTGAGCGCACTGAGAGCTGCAAGATTAACACGGATCAGACGCGGCATTAAAAGAAACGCAGAACACCGGACCACCTGGGGCAGTGCAGGGCCGCAGGGCACGCAGCCCACAGAGCACGCTGGCCCTCCCGGGGGACACCATGGCTGATGGCAAGGCCCGTGGGAGCCGCACGTGCCCGCACGCAGAGGGCACAGGAAGGGACATGCCACGTGCCATCGGTGGGGTATCTGGGTAGCACCGCGGCTGTTCATCACTGGGTAATCTCCTTTCCTGGCCCCCCTGAACCGCTGTGCTCGGCCGCTACCCTAATCTGTAAAGTGGCCAAGATCCCAGCCTGCACCTGGGAGGATTGGGGCACGCAGGCTTTCCAGAGGAAGGGGACAGGGCTTAGGCAGGAATAAGGAGAGGGGGGACTTCCTAAGACATAATCTGCAGCACCCCACCCCCCACCCCCGACCCAATTCTCCTGCAGGAGACATTGCCTTGGCTTCGCACAGCTCTCTTGGCCGAGGGGAAGCCAGCCTCGCGCTGCCCATACCTTCTCTGCACTAGTACCGGTCGCTCAGGGCTCTCTTCAGCTTTACGGAAACACTGGGCAGAGAGGAGCGTTCCAGACGCCCTTCTCCCACCCACAGCTCCCCCTTATAGACGGCCCCCACATTCCCGAGGGAGAGCCAGTGCCCCGGGTGTGGGCGGCCAGAACAGACTGTCTCACAGACTCGGGGCGTGCTCAGGAGGGCCAGTCCCTGGAGAGGGCTCGTGCACGTGCTGCGGTCAGCTCCTGTCTGGTCCAGGTGGTGCAGGCAGCCAGGACGGGCTGCTGACAGTTGGGTCTCAGGGGTCAGGCTTGGGGGTGTAGAGATGGCCATGACCAGGGGTAGATGGTGAGGACCAGGGGTGGGCAGGGTGGGTATCATGAAGAAGTCAGTGCCAGCGTTGTCTCCATTTCACTTGGGCAGCCCCTGAGCCCCCTAAAACACAAGCCCCCATTTCCCTGTGTGACACGAACTGGAAGCTCAGACCTTGCTTGACCCTTGGAGACATCATCCTGGTGAGAGTCGTGGGGCAGGAGGGTCCCTCAGTATCACACAGCCCCGACTTCCACCCCCTGTGATGTGACTGACAGTGCCGCTCCTCCCCATAGTGGGTGGGATCCATTCTCTCACCACGGGGCTGGGCTGGACTGGGCTTAAGTCTGGCTTTGGCCACTGGATGTGCAAGAAGTGGGGCACCGTGACCCTCCTGAGCACCGGGCCACTGCAGGGAGGCTGGCCGGCTGTGGGGCCTGAGACCATCTGAGGCCCCAGGACCAGTGGCTCCCACCACATGACTACGCACTGGCAGGAGAGACACCCGGCTGAGCCGAGCCCGCACCGCGGCCCACGGAACCAGAAGCTGTAAGAAAGCGCCTGCTCTAAGGCACTGCAGCGTAGGTCAGCCTGCTCTAAGGCACTGCAGCGTAGGTCAGCCTGCTCTAAGGCACTGCAGCGTAGGTCAGC